TTGACAAATGTCAAAACTTTGAAGATCAAACTTCAGTTAATATCCTATTCATAAAATGAATTGTTAAGCAGGTTTGCGTATCTCCCAGTAACTAATGTAGCTACCAAATAAAAAAACTGTCAGTTAATAAGGCAGCAACACTTTCAAAGTTAAAAAGAACTTCGACAATTGGACCAAAGTATAAATCAAACAAATCTTTATATATTCATAACAAAATAAAATACTAAAAATAATTGTAAGAAGTATTTTGACTTACTATTAGTAAAATAGATAAAATAGGTATATAATAAAGTAATGTTAGAACTCCATTGAAATAGCCAATATGAACTCATGATTTTTTTTTTTTAAAGATTTTATTTTTTCCTTTTTCTCTCCAAAGCCCCCCAGTACATAGTTGTATATTCTTCATTGTGGGTCCTTCTAGTTGTGGCATGTGGGACGCTGCCTCAGCGTGGTTTGATGAGCAGTGCCATGTCCGAGCCCAGGATTCGAACCAATGAAACACTGGGCCACCTGCAGCGGAGCGCGTGAACTTAACCACTCAGCCACGGGGCCAGCCCCATGAACTCATGATTTTATATATATATATATATATATTTCCTCTCCTATCTCTGTAACTGAATTCCTTTCGTGTCAGTACTGTGATGAAATAACCCAATACATATTCCAGGGCCCAGATCTTGTAATTTATAATGTTCTCCACTGAAGAAATCAGGGCTCTTTGGAGAGTGGCAAATTTCATGTTTTGGGTAGAAGAAATGCAAAGTAAACCTGAATAACTTGTTGCCTGAAAACAGTGATGCATTTTTTAAAGTGCTGAGGTGGATAAAAAAAAAAAAAGAGCAAGTGAACCAGCATAAAGGGGCTTCTATGTGCTGAACTGTGACAATTTGACTCAAAAAGTAAAAAATTATAACTAATCAAAACAAGTTAAATCTGAAAATGACTTAGTTATAACAGTATCAACAAAAATAACAAGTCCATAATGATGCTCAGAAAAGAAAAGCAAGGGCTGGCCCCATGGCGTAGTAGCTAAGTTCAATGCTTTCTACTTTGGTGACCCTGGTTCATGGGTTTGGATCCCAGGCACGGACCTACACCACTCATCAGACATGCTGTGGTGGTGACCCAAAGACAAATTAGAGGAAGATTGACACAGATGTTAGCTCAGGGTGAATCTTCCTTAACAAAAGGGAAAAAAAGAAAAGTACTAAAAACTGTTTCCTGATCAAAATATTATTTTGGATTACCTTTTTTCAGAAGTTAGTTATAAATATATTCTCAAAATATGTGAAAGTTTTTCCTTGTACAAAGACTACACTTAATGCTAGCATAACTTTTACAGGATTTTTTTTTTTTTTATGTTTGGGATATGCCTATCAAATTGTGGCAGAAACACTGGCCAGGTTGTTAAAATTTCTGTAAAGCTTTAGCTATTTCACAACACCTTCAATGCCACGATATTCCCAAATTAGCTGATATGGTCCAGAGCCAGAAGGAGAGTCCCTCCCAATGCTGGTATTCAGCTGGAATGCTCCATGTGGCTGGTTTCTTTCTCTTTTATCTCTGCTCATGCCATACCATAAGCTGTTAAATGTTTTGAACATCACCCCTGGGTAGACCATGAGACTTTCTTTCACAACCAAATGGCCACCCAGTAACACATGTCATTGTGTATTAGATGATATTAAATTTGATTATTAGAAGACATTTAAGAAGTAAGAGTATGGAAGCTTTCCACTCACAGATGTGAGAGTTCCTGGCCATTGACCTGAATAAATCAAGCCACAATCCACACCCTGGATATTTAATTCCCGTAAAAGTTTAAATAGTTTAAATAGTTAAAAAAGTTTAAATGCCTTGGGCAATGATCAAGAAATCACCTCAAAGGTCTGGAAACTTGTCCACTGTGGTGTGACAAGACTTTTTCTCTCACTCTGCCTGCTCCGTGGGCTGCTCCAGCTCTTCCCCAAATCGCTGACTTTATCATCTTTACATGGGAGTCTAAGCAGGCTCAGCTTGGTTACCTGGTCACTGGGTTTGAGGTGAAAACTAGTAAAGCGGAAAGACTACTAAATACCTTTCGTCTTCTCCAAGATAAGACTTAAACATTTTCCTCCTCTGGATAGCTATGACCTGTTCCTTAGTGTACCCAATGATGCAGAGTGAAAGAATATAACAGTTGTCCCTTCCTTTGCCAACAGACCTTGCATATAATAGGTAGAGAAGTTATCTGGACCTAGTAATGAATCATAACCTTAGAAGTTATTAGAGCCTGCATGGTTCTGCCTAGATAGTAGAAAGAGCCAATGTGTCTAAACCCAGAGTTCTTTTAGGAATATGTGCCACAATAACTGGACAAGAAAAATTGGATGCTGACAAAATAATGGACTTTTATATAATTTTTATACTTTTATGAATTAAGAAACACAAGGATTTATAAGCAATATTTTTTCCCAACTGGCACATCACAATGCAGATGACTTTAATGCTTTTAAACGCTGAGTCTGATCTCACGGACCTCACAGTACTGAGGAGAAATCCTTCCACTTGACATAATGAAAGGTAATAATCATGGGAGAGCCAGATGTAAGCATTGCATATAATGTCCCAGGAATGGGACCTTCCAAACTGTCTTAGTAGAACAGCTTATACTCCTTTGAGTTAGTAACATTCAATTTATTCTATTAAATGACCACCACATAGTGGCAATTATGATTATGACTTCACAAACCATATGGCTCTTGAGTAAGTCAGTGAAGAAAAAATATGCATATTCATTCAGGTAATATGGATCTTATACAAGTCATAATGAAGGAAAAAAACGGAAGCTAAAGAGAGCCACTTTAGAATGAGTACTGGCCCTAATGTCTGTGGCTAAAACCTTTATAAAAAATTAGAAAGAAATATTATTCAAGGAAACTTACTACTACTAATTTACCAATATGAAGAAATTATGCTAAGTACTGATAAAGTATTGTCTAAACAGGATTGTTAACGAATGTGGGCAGTACATAATATATGTATGCAAGATAAGGGGAAAACTAAACCTTGGGAAGGAAAAATTTTGGAACCAATAAATTCAAGTTAGAGGAAAATTAATGTTTAGGTGTAATAAGCCCCCAAATGAAAGAACTCGAGGGAAAAGGAATATAATCTCCTCTTACAAAAGAAAAGATAAACTGCTTAAATAGCATTTCTTCTTTTTTTGCTTTCCTGATTATTTTATTTTATTGTAGTGAGAATACTTAACATGAGATCCACTCTTAAAACTAAGTGCACAATACATTGCTGTTGACTATAGATATCATGTTTTAAACAGATATCTAGATTTTAAAAAAATTTATTTTCTTGAAGTCACATTGGCTTATAACATTTAAATAGCATTTCTTAAACAACTGCCACTGATAGAGCCAGGAGGCTAAGAGGTTGGAGTAGTTGAGATTTGAATCTCTGCTAGGAACTCCAACAGAAATAATGAACAAAACAGTCATACAATTGCAAAAGATCTCAGTGCTAGTTTTGCTAGGGAAAATTGTGACGATCATCCAATTTATGTGGTGTTCTTAGTGACAAGGACTTAGATATAGACATGCTCTGATTAAAAGCAAAGCACCAGCCAAGTTTGTGGGTGGACTCCTCTTGGTTCCAGGAATAGCAAAAGAAAGTTACATAAGAGTGATGGCCGGCAGGGACCATTTCTCTCAAATGGCAAAGACTGTAGTCCTGAGAAAATGGGTGCGAGGTTTTATTGTCATCCCAACAATAATTTTATGTTTGAAAATGATGGAAACTTTGAAGAGAAAATGGTTTCACAAAGATGATTGGCCATGTACTAAACGAAGTCATTTGGAATTGATCTTTCTTGGTTCTTTTTCCTTCATGGGAGTTGACTCTGGGTTTTAATCTCTGGTCTGAAATTTACTGATTGTGTCATCTTGGCTTAGTGCAATCTTTTCAAATTTCACCTGCTTAATTTTATAAATGAAGAAGAGAATATTTATCTTCCAGAGATGTTGTGAGGATTAAATGGGATAATGTGGGAAAAATATCTCACATCGCGTGTATGTTCAGGGATTGATAAGTCACCTTTAATGACAGCTTCTGACTTGGTTTACCTTCATAAGCATCACAACACCTCTCTAGTGTAGACTGTTTTGTTGTTGTTACTGTTTTGTTTGTTCTTTTTTTTACATTTTACACCATAGGAAAAAGATTTAGGCTCAGGAACATTAAGTAAGATCCAAAATCGCACAACTAGTCAATGACAGATGATGGATTTGAGGCCTGTCTGACTCAAAAAATCTGTGTTTTTTACTATTACGCTATATTGCACTCATTTAACAACAAAAAGCTTCACAGCTATAGCATGATCTACCAACAGTAACAAGGGCAGCAAGTGAGAGAGGAAGGGCCCCAAACTCCTTCCTCCTCTATGAGCACCTCAACAATGGACTCTGCCTGCCCTCTAAAGCTGTGTCCCTTGAAATGTTCCTTTTGCAGACAGATGTCAGCACCAGAGAACCCAGAGGGAAACTGTGAAGAGATCTACCATGATTTCCTGAAGTCCTTGAATAAAGCATCATTTATTTGACCTAATTAAAGTTTTTTTCCGCTATTCAAGGAGATTATTTTTGGTCTGAATATTTCTAAATGTCCCTGCTGCAAAGTGAAATATAAAGAAGAATTCTGACTGTCACTCTTGATTCCCACTGTGTTGGCCAAAATTTTAATTTGTTGAATGAAAGATACTCTGATTTTGGTACAATCACACTCAAATCTCTGGAAAAGACCTCATGCTATCAGATTTACTGGCATAAATATTCTCTGATGTATATATATTCTTCCCCAATGCTGCCCCCTCTGCAGTACTTCCCTGTAATGATTTAATTCTGCACACAATCTCAAAAAAAGACATCATGCTGTCAGATATACCGGCATAAATATTCCTTGGTGTTTATTTTTTTCTTCCCTTAATGTCGTGGCCCCCCGACTCTTACCTGCTGCAGTATTTCCCCATAATAATTTAATTCTTCTGTGGAGCAGAACTTCTACAACTGAGACTCAGGCACATTCCCTGAAGTCAGTTGCAAGCTCTGTGTCTTTAATCCTCTACAGACCCTAGCCAGGGTGGCAGCTCCCATTTCTCAATCTCTTCTCTTACTTCCAGTCCTATTTCAATCCCTAAGTGAAATTTCCCCTCAGAACTTCTCCCTCTCTATAAATGGAAAAGGGAAAGAGGTACACTCTGGCTGTAGATATTGTAAGTTAAGCAGTGATGGGAAAGAGAAAAATATCTAGGTCAATACATGACTGAGAAAATGAATTATGCAACCGCTAGTCAAGGATTGGTAGGAAATCCAGCATCCTTTCAGAAAAGAGTGGAGAAAATGTGAGATCTGAGCTGCAGAGAGTGATGCCTGTGCTGAGAATTCTTAACTATTGAAGGACACTACTGATTTGTGTGATTCAGCTCCAGCACCCCCAACTTTGGAAAACGGAGAATTCCAAAGTTTTCTGAACACAGAGCTGTGCCTTTTCAGGGATGAAATTAAAAGAGGAAAGATAAGACAGAGAAAAGTGCAAGGAGAAAATATCACCACAAGGCAGACAGCAAGAAATAAAGAGAACAAAACAGTCTTTAAAGGAAAATCTCCAAATGAAGAATAGCAGCAAAGCTAATGAGCTTTTGAATTGACCCATTTAGGATGTCAGTTCCTTATTTTTCACAGATTTTTGAACACATGATTCTCAGGGGATGGTACCTCTCCATCCTTCTGTTTGTTCCCTTTTCTTGAAAACCACTTGTTAACAATCATGAGTAGGTTGTCTTCAATGAGCATTAGATGTATGAAGAAGAATTACCAACTTGCTTTATGAAATTTTGTGATGAGGGAGGAGAATATTTACTATAAAGACTATTACAATCTATTTTAGCAATTTATTAATAATTTTCCAAATCACCTGAAAGAAATCAAAATGGAGTTATAAGTTAGTAGCAACTATTATCATCAACTTTTACTGCTATTGGCAATAATAATAACAAATCAGCCTAGTCATTTATGTTATAGAAATAAAAAACAGTTCTCCTTGGTTCCCAACATCTTACTTTACAAAACCTGACCAAAAAAATCTATCAGAATATTCGTTTCATCCTTACCTTGTGATATCGTTTTGATCTCTCCCCTGACCAGCTGCAGCCGTGTGTTCAGAGAACTTGCAGACTCTATTTATTACCCAAAGTTTGGCAGAGAACCAAACTGCTGGAGAAGGGAGATCTGAGTGGGTGAGATTCCGGCAGATTTTTAAACTCATGTAAAAAGCCAACAATACAATTCTGTCAACATCTAAGTTTCACTGCTTTCTGCCTTCTCCCTGTCTCCATACCAAAATGAATCCAGCAATTATGGATTTTATGTTCTGTGTTTTTTTACTTCCAACTCACATCAGAATCATCTCAAATGTAACTCCTACCCCATCTTCCACTCACAACCCTTCCTCTGCCCCCACACATTACAACTTGGCTCCCTTCAGAGTTGAACTTCACAATTTCAACTTCAGTGCTATTTATATTGAAATTCTTTTGCCATTTATATTTTCACTTTGGGCCACTGGCTTCTTCATTTACAACCTTCACTGAGAAGTCAATTTATTCTTCCAAACTTCTTTATATATAGGGTCACCCCCTATTGTATATCAGTTATGCGCAGCTTATTTGCAAATAAAAGCTCTCAGATACTCCATGCATCACAACATAACTGACCTGCCTCTCTGCTCCCCATTGTTCATCTCTCCTTCCATATAGCCCACAAATCTTACAGAAGATATCACTTTTTGTTGTAAAAGCAAATCCTACGCTGTAGATCCTAGCTCTTCTTCACCTCATGAGAAATTTTGCTTCTACATGCTCTCTTTCTTTCTCTCTTTTGGCATATGTAATATGCCAACTTGGCTGTTTCTGCATCCTCAGACCATACATCAGAAGGAAGACGGCTGTAGTACTTATAGGATGTTGTGATGGGACTATTTGCTACATACACACAGGCCTAGCAAGTCCCCACCACTGTCCAATCTGCAAGTTTAGAAGGGTGAACTTGAAATAAAGGGGCAGAAACACTGTTCTGAAAAATAAATAACAGGAATCTTTTAGTTTTCTTCTTGGCATACTGGTTAGGGTTCTGGAATTCAAGGGAAAAGGAACTGAGATAGCAAGAGATGACTGACCAGAACTTGGGAAAGGTACAACTGTGATAGCGTCCCTTTTGGAAAAAACTATTGAGGGACTGAGAAACAGTTATCCAGTTTAAAGCTGTTTCCTGTTCTATGTAGTAATGTCCTTTCTTCACCCCTAAGCCTGAGCAATATCTGCTACAAGCCATAGTGTTGTGTTTGTGGAAAAGGAAGGAAAAGGGCTATGTCCACTCTTGTGATAAAGCGGTTAAGAAGGAAGGCAAGCAGGCAGGAGGCTGAGATGACCAATGCTGATTAGGAATTGAGCTGTGTGCAGTAAATTGGAGGGAAAGGTGACAAGTAACAATCAAGGGAATGTCAGCATACTCTACCCTGAGAATTCTTGCAAGTACTGAGATTACAAGGGATAGATAGTGTGACCTTCTAATGTATACTGAACTCTTCATTATTACAAAATTTCCCTCTTTATCTATTTATTTATTTAAGAAGTATCTCTTATAAGCAGTATATAGTTGGTTTTTGTTTTGTTTTTAACCAGTTTGACTATCATTTGTCTTTGAACTGGAATATTTCCTATTTACATTTATTGTAAATACTGACATATTAGCATTTATTTCTATCTTGCTTTATTTTTCTCTATTTTGTCTCCCTGGTTTATGCCTCATTTTCTTTCTTTTCTTGCTTCTTTTGAATTAATCCATTTTTAAAATTATGAAATTTTTCCCTAGCAGTCATACACTATAACTTTTGCCTCCTCAGTAGAGTAAGACTGCAAAAAAACCAGAAACACACAACAAACAAACAAACAAAACTGCCAGAACTTTGGCTCTGCTTTTAAGAAGCTTTCCAACTTTTTTCTTTTTTTGTTTTTGCCTCTCCCTCAGGCAACTGCATAATTTGGCAAGTGTTTTGAAAAAAAAGAAACTCTTCGCATGTCAGGCTTAGTTCTCCAGCCCTCTCTTTTCACTGAGTTCTTGGCTCTTTGAGCCTCTAATTTTGTCTCTTCAGCCCCACAAAACAACCAAAGGCTTTGCTGATTTCTCTGTGTCCTAACAGCAGCCTTCTGCCCAGACAAAACCCAAATTCCCTGCCTCCTACAGAACACACAGAAATGGCAAATACCAGTAGAGGAAAGGCAGCTGTAACTGTCAACTAATCTCTCCTTGGAATCTTGGCTCCTCATCCTGATTGCTTCAGCAGCTTTCTCCTGCCTTTAAACCTTCTCTTGGATATTTTCAGTAGCAACATTGGACTGCCACAAACTACTGAATTCCATTGGAAGTAAAATCTCTGACTGTCTGAGTTGAATACAAATGAAAGCCTGGCTCTAGAAGCCAGGAGGATTGCCGGCCAGTTGGGCTTTCTTCAAGTGGCCGTTGAATTTATTATCCAAACTATAAAACTTTTGAAAATGAAAAGAATGTTATTAATAATTAGGTGAACACTGAAATATGGTTACTCCAGGTTTTATGGCTTTTTTATAGTTCTTCCTCCTTCCCTGTTTCTTCTCAAATACCAAATCTGCCCTACCGATTGCCTGCTTTCAGGGCAGATTCAAGGTATACAGATGACTGTCTGAAATTTTGCAGACTCACAGATACATACTAGATCTGGTGATGTTATTTTGTTCCAACAAGAGAAAGAAAGCTAAAACTGAGGGTTTGCTACCAACAGATTTTTAAAAACTGAAATTGTAAAGGATATACTTCAGGCAAAGGAAGTTGATCCCAAATGGTAGGTCTGAAATTCAGGTGAGATTAAAGAGCAAAGAGTATTATGAATGTAGAGGTAATGCTAAACAAATATTCACTATAAATGATGAAAATAATATCTTGTAATGTTAAGGGAGAATAAAACATAGGAAAGACAAGACAGAGAGAAAAGACAAAATATAGTAGATTTAACCCAAATTTATCAATACTTTCACTCCATGAATTAAATGCCCTAGTCAAAGAACTAATTACTACACTTGAAAAGACAAGATCCATTTATATACTGTTTTTAAGAGACATATGCAAAATCTATAAATTGAAATTAAAGGGTAGAAAAATATACGCTGGCAAATCCAAATCAATAGAACGGTGACATTGCTTCATTCATGTTATGCTTTAAGGTAAAAAGTATACCTGAAGATGAAGAAGTTGACTGAATAATGACAAAACATTCAATTCACTGGGAAAAAATACATCTAAACTAACAAATACCTATTAACCTAATCTAAAGTACATTAAAAAAAATGAACAGAATTACAGGGAGAAATACACATATCTATCATTCTAGTGAGACATTGAATACATATATCTTAGCAATTATTATTAAGCAGAAAAAACATCAAATGGATACATAAATTGCACCTCATCTAAGAGTGGAGAATACATACTCTTTTCAAGCACACATAGAACATTACCAAATTAAACATATTCTTGTCCATAAAGTAAGATGCAGAACTATTTCAATTGATGTCACTGAATATGGCAGTGTAGAGAATCCCTCCACAAAAGCAACTAAGCTGGAAAAATCTCATAGAATCCAACTTAACATGACCCTGCAATCTAGTAAAAATTTAGAATAACTGTGGAAAGCTTAATGAAGAAAGAAACTGATGCATTACAATAAGAGAGTGCTGTGGAATTTTAAATTGCCCATTTGCCGTCCTTCATCCCCAAGATCAGTGGCAGCCATGAAGATGGCAGTGTTACCAAACCAGGTTGGGTTTTACCTGTTGCCTGGAAAGCCAAACACCAAGACAATGAGATTGAAGCAGAGAGAGGGTTTAATCACAAGGCAGCCAAGTGAGGAAACAGGAGAATGAATCTCAAATTTGCCTCACCAAAAATGGGGACTCAGGGATATTTATGGCATGGGGGACAAGGTGGTCTGAAATGTGGAGACAGATGATTGGAGCTGAGGAGAGGTGAAGCAATTGATGATCTGTGCAAGCGTAGTCAGACTTCATGCCTCTTCATAGGAAGCACGTTCAAAATGCGTATTATTGTGTTAACATGATCTGAAGGTGGAGTTTTTAGCCTCTTGACATCAAAAGTTCACTTATCAGACATCTGCATGGGCCCAGTTGTTGGGTTTGTGGTCTCAACTGGCCTGAAGTGGACAAGGGATTCTAATTCCTGAAAAACAGCTGAAACACCCTTTACCATGGTGACACAGTCTCCAGGGAGATGTTACCTATAGGAACCTACTGGGAGTCAGATAACATATTGCCTAAACAGCACAATTAACAATGGGTGGGCAAACAGCTTAAAGCCTTAATCAGTAATTGCAAAAAGGAAAAAAAAAATTAGCTCCTGGCTACTTAATCATCAATGGTTAACTGCCCGTTTCAGCAGCCTCCAACACTACTGTAGATGCTAGTACCAGAGGAAGCAAGATGGACCTTATTCTCAAAGAATTGCAGTTGTGTGTTTTGACCTGTCTGGGGTTCCCTAAAGGACTGGTGCAAGTACTTGCTTTTGTTTTATCTTATTTGAAGCATTCCCAGGGCTGTGGTGGCTTCCCAGGCAGTGTTTTCCAAAGCATTTAAAGGGAAAAGTATTGGCTGCAGCAGCTTGGGCCAGTGATAAAACAGTCAGAATAAGCAATAAACAGATCAAAAAGCCTGGGAAGGAAAAGGGTGAGAAAGGAGATACATGGGAGAATAACGGCTTTAAAAAATACCCAAGTATACTGGAGACTCAAGGAGGAAACGCTCAGACCCAAAGCTGGACACAGGTTCAGAATAGGCTGAGAAGAT